ACAGCCTGGCCAGTTCCCCCCACATCACGACTCTTCAGTCTGCTTTGCAAACTCGCAACGTACACTCATGATTCACCTGCTTACAGCCCCTCATGGGTTCCCCGCAGCCCTCCGGGTACAGTCCTAGCCCCCAGACCCTTCCCATCGCAGCCCCCGCCTGCCCAGCCCCCTCGGTCCCTGCACCCAGGCTCCCGAGGGCTCTGGGACTTGTTCCTCACCAGCGTCCACATGTCTGGGCGGCTCCTGCCACCCCAGGTCTCTTCTCCTTCTCCACTTGCTGGGCCCCGAGATACCTGGAGACCCCTCAGCACCCCGCCCCCAGCTGGCTTCCCTGTGTTCCCCACCCCGACGGCACTTACCCCCCCTGCGTTTTGTCATCTGAAAAAGGAAGTTAATCATGGGATGGCCCCAAGGACTTCAGGGCTCACACATGGGGACTGTTCGGCCCAGGCCCTGGCTGCCGGAAGTGCTGTGCTGCGGTCTCTCGAGCCACCCTCACCTCCCTGGGCTCAGCTGAAGTTTCCGGATGGCTAGCCAAGGCGGTCCCAGTCGCCACGTCTCTCTGTCCGCTGCTCCCCGTCCACTGCTCCCCATCTGTCTCCGTCGGTCCCTTCACCCCACCAGGGACAGATTTCAAGCCTGCGTCTTGGGCAGCAAGAGATATTCTTGAAGTGGTTCAGAGGAGGACAAACCCTTTGAGGTGGAAGGGTCACGGGCGGGAGAAGGAGAGGGCTTTTCAGCTGGGCTTGGAGGGCGAGGAAGTTTGGGCTCCAAGCGAAGGGGGTGGCAGGTGGGTGGAGGGTGGCACAGAATGGCCATCATCCTGGTGACACAGGAACCTTGGGTCTGACTGCACAGCTCGTACCCGCCCAGCAGGCAGCATTTCAGCCCCTGCAACAGAGTCCCAGCGTCCCTCAAAGTCCCCAGGCAGGTCTGGGGACAGCCTGCATTTCAGCCAGGGCTCACCAGTGGGTCCTGGGAGGGGGCCCCACAGCAGGGCGGTGGGACCCTAGAGAGACCCCTCTCTCAGATCACTCCCCCTGCGTCTTTGTGCCCCTAAGCTGGGGAACTGTCCTCAGGGAGGTCACTTTGATGGAGTCAGACCTGGATGCACCCCGGCCCCTCTTCCTCACCCCACAGCCTGCCTGGCTTCTGTCCCCCCGGCCTCCAGGCCTTCAGACCTCTGTGTGAGCAAGAGTTCCCAGACAGCCCCAGCTCCCGGGCCAGAGAGGGGGTGTAGTCACACACTGTGCGGACAAGTGGGGAGTTGCCTAGTTTCCCACAGCGCTCCCCTTGGGGTACCTGGCTCCTGCTCGGTGGGAGTGGGGTATCTGGAGAGAGGCCGGGGACAGGGCCTTCAGGGGAGGGGGCTCCAGGGGTGACTCCCCTGCACCTGCCGGCTTCAAGAGACAGCTGTGAATGGTTTCTGTCCCTGGCACCTGTTCTTTCCCCCTTCTCATTCCGGCTTCATTTTGCCCCTTTCCTCGCCGGGCCCAACCCCGGAGCAGAGCAGCTTCCTAGTTCTATTACATCTTGTGTTTTTGGGAGATGGTGGGTCGTGCCCATGTCTGGGCCAGCTCGGACAGCTTCGCCCGGGATGTGAGACACGTTCCCATGGCTTGTCAGAGCTAAAAACAGGGACAAAAAAAGAGTGGGAGACATGGAGAGGGGACGCAGAGAGAGAGAGACAGGCGGAGGTGCACCAGGTCCCCCGCCCTACTGTTTGTCCATTTGTTAGACTGATGTCTGGTTACGCATGGCACACTGGATGTCATTTCATGGCTCAAGTTCATGTCCCCAAGTCTGTTTTCCCAGGTTTGTCCTGAGAATTTGTTTGAGAGTTGGAGTGCTGAGTGGACTGGTGAGGCCACTCCCTGTGGTCAGCGGGAAGGAGCCAGTGTCACCCACCTGCCCCTGCCACCCTGCAGTGCCCCCCATTCCCCTCCACCCGCTGGCCTCTTACCCATCCTTCAAGACCACACCTGTGCCCATTCTCCAGGCAGCCCCCAGACAGGATCAGCAGACAGGGTGTGCCTCTCTGTCTCTCGAGGGCCCTGTCACCTCTGTGCATATCTGGCTGCCACGGAGATGGCTGGCCTTGAGGGCCAGGACGACATGTGTCAGCGCCCCACATGGCTGGCCAGAGTCAGCGACTGTCTGCTGAGGGAGGGACTGAGTGATCCGAGGGCCAGAGCTGGGTGTCCTTTTCCCTCCCGTCCATCCTCTTCATGGGTGAGGAGGCCGAGGCCTAGGGCAGGTCAGGCAGGGCCAGGACTGGGGTCCCGACATCCACCTTCCCTGGGAGCAGGTCCCACGACACGGCTCCCTCCCTGCTCCATGGGGCAAATGGTCAGTGGCTTTAAGGGGCCTGCACCCTGGCTCACGCCTTTCCCTCCAGCCAGGCCTGGACTCCCAGGCCCCAGAAGAGCCCAGAGTGGCAGCCCTGGCATGGCCGGGCTTCCCATTGGGAACTCGGGCCAGGGGAGAATCCCACCCACCCCGTGCCGGGGGCTCTGGACTCAGCATGGGGCAGGCCCGCGGCAGCTTACGTCCTTGTGGCCAGGCTGTGTCTGTCGGAGGAAGGGGTATGTGTCGCCAGTGGGGGCCTGTGGTCAGGGAGAGAGGGTGCCTGGGTCTGTCTAGCACTCAGCCTGGGGACAGGAAGACCAGGGAACCAGGGAACCAGGGGGAGGATGGGGCTGGGGCAGCTCCAGGCTCAGCTGTGGGGGTGGCATGCTGGCACGAGGGGCCTCTGGGATGTCCAGTCAGAGACTGCCAGGGGCTAAAGACGTAGGGTGGAGGGGGACTGGTAAGCTTGGCTGCACAGGGCATTTACTCCAGATGGGGTGAGAAGTAAGGACTCCATGCCCCACCTTGAAGTCCTGGAGCATGTGGGTAGGTTCTACTCAGGAGGGGTTCAGGGAGGAGGTGTTCTCAAGGGAGAGGCAGGAAGGTGGTGAAGCGGACATTTGAGGGCCCTACCCTCTTCAGCTGGCAAAATTGCCCTGTCCTCCGAGACTCAGGGGTCAGCTCCTGCAGAGTCCTCTCTGCACGCCCCCACCCAGGCTCTGCAGCCCTCTGTCTGCCCCCTCTAGTCTGGACAGCAGAAGGCGGGAAGGGTCTGATTCCCCGGGGTCAGCACAAAGGCAGCCATTTCTCGCCCTTCTCTGTCCTGCTCTGTGGCCAGGAGGCTGACCTCCACGGACAGCACCCCTCAGACCCCCTGCCCTCTGGCCTCTGGCGAGGTATGGCTGGTGGAGGCACCAGCACGTGATCAGAGGCAGGAGGGCAGAGCCCACTCCCTCGGGGGGCTTCATCCCTTTACCTACAGCCCCCACTCCTGCCAGGGACTGTCACCCATGGCTACTGTTGGCTGGCTCTGGAAACACCACTCCCTTCCTCCCCGCAGCCCAGGCAGTGCTTATGGCCCCATTAGAGCCAGTCCTGGGTCACCCTCTCTCCTTGGTTCCCCTGACGCACCCACACCCCTGCAGACGCTCTCGTTTGCCCAGGGAGCCAGTGCGCCATCTGTTTCCTGCCAGGGCCTGACCCACACAGGGCGTGGGTGAAGGTTTGTGGAGTGCAGGATCTTAGAGTTCACTCCACTCAACCTTTGCTTTTTACACAATGGAAAACTGAGGCCCAGAGAGGGTGAGTGACCTGTCCAGGAATACCCAGCCCCAGAGTCAGGGCTCACGGCTGCTCTGAAAAGGCTGTGAAGAGGCCACGGCTTAACTCACAGAGGTTGGAAGTGTTTGTCCCTGACCTCTGCCTGCACCTCCCAACCTGGCTGCCCCACATGGTACTTGAGGATTTCCTCCAGGGCAGGAGCCGGATGTGTCTGCTCAGGATAATAAACCCATCAGAGCCATCTGCACCTCCCAGAGGCAGGTAGCTGGGACCCAGCCAGTACCCTCCTCCCCAGACCTCCTGCCCCAGAGGGCGAGGTCCTGCCTTTGGCATGGGGTGTCTCCCAGCCTCTCTTCCGTCCCTCAGCCACCCTCCCCAACCTGCCCACCAGCAACTCGTCACTTCTCCTGCCCGGGCACCCTTCCCATGTCCACCCTGCCCAGGTGTCCTGCTCCTTCTCCAAAGCCATACCTCCCCAAGAACCCCCCTCTGAAGCCCCAAACAGTCCAACCCTTTGGTGCCTATTCCCTCGTTCCCTTGTACTGTCCTCCCCCTGCAGTGGTGACACCTTGCCTCGGCCATCGCCAGGCCTGGCATGGAGCAGGGCTGATCAACGCTGTGTGCCCTGCATTAGGTTTGGGGCTGGGGTCTGCTTGGGGCTGAGTTCAGGCTGTTCTTAGGAGCTGCAACTTCACACATCCTTCCTGCCCCCCCAGCCTGGGCTGCCCCACCCAGCAGTGTGGACATGAGTGGCGTGAGGTCTAGAAGCTGCACCTCTTGTGTTCTCCAGGGAGGAGTTGGAGGCAGGGGGGCAGATGGCCAGAGTCCTCCAGCCAGGAGGAGGGGCCAGCTTGGGTGGGATGGATGGCAAGCGCCGGACGTGTGGCCTTCGGGTAAGAGGAAGCTGGCTGGGCAGGACAGGGGAGCATCTCTCACCGGTCTGTAGTCCTCACAGCTCCCAAGGCATGTTCACCGTGGTTTAGATTCACAGCGCCCCAGGGGCCAGGGTTACCATCTCATTTCACAGACAGGGACATCGAGGCTCGCAGAGAGGCGGGTCCTGCCCCAGGTGACTGCTGGCCTAGGACCCTGAGCTTCACCCCTGGGCCTGCATCCCCTTGAGAACCGCCCCAGAGCTGGGGGCAGTGGCGCAGGAAGATCGTCCAAGTGTACGATGTCACACACAGGTGTTGGGGACATTTATTTCTAACAGGGACTGGCCCAAGCTTTGGGCTAAGGACACCTTCCCCCAGCCTCATCTAGAAACAATCTTTTCCAGGGCTCTGGAAGCTTCAGGCTGTGTCCCAGGCCAGGCTGCAGAGCCCAGGCCAGGGAAAGGCTATGGGGCAGATGGCACCCCCCAGAGGCCCTCAGGAGCCCCCCACAGCGGGAGTGCTGAACGCATCATGGGTGGTGTATCTCCTCACACTCACTGTCTCCCTTGGGCCTGAGATGGGAGCGCTCCTGCAGCTGTCGAAGCTGGGGTCGGGGGGAGATGGGGAGAGACATGGAGAGTGAAGGAAGGGCCGGAAGAGATCCCACAGCCACTGCCTAGTTCCCCAGCCCACTGCACAGGGGAAACTGAGGCTCCATGGGAGACCTGGCCAATCCCACCCTTCCCTTCGGATCCATGGTCATGGCCAGCCCCCTGCACTCTCTCCCTCTCCCCCAGCACCCCAGGATCCCTCTAAAACATTATCTGTCTCCCCTGATCAAAACCCACCATTGGTTCACATGGGCTGCAGGACACAGCCCAGGTCCTCGCTGGACACCCGACCTCCCGGGCCTTGCCCGGCTGCCCTCCTGCCCCAGGAGCCCCCACAGTTCCCCACCTCCCTGCCACTCCCTTCCTGGAACCACTGCTTCTCTCCCCTCCTCCCCAAACCCCACCAGGGGCCAGGCTTCCCTTCCCCTCTCTGAAGCCTGTGGACACCCGCTGTGCGCCAGGCCCCAGCACCTGAGCTCTTTCTGACGTCTTGCGGCAACACCTAGACCTTGACCTGAAGGCGTTCACCTCCACCTGGGGCGTCCCTGCCCGCCCCCACGTGCGATCCCAGATGCCGCCACCAGGGGGCGGGCGGTGCCCGCTTAGAAGGGGGGCGAAGATGGAGGGTTCGTGGCCATGCGCCCCCTGGGCCCCCAGTGGGCTCAGCGCTGTCCACTCACCAGGTGTATATGAGCACAGCGAGGAGGGCGGTGAGGAGGAGAGCGAGGAGGATCGACAGGATGGCGATGATGACAACGGTGCCCGCGCTCTGGGGCCCCCGGACAACTTGGAGCGCCTGAGCTGAGGGCGGTGATGCCAGGCAGGAAAAGAGATCTTATTTGATCCGAAAAGGACCTTGGGCAGCCTCCAGACCAACCAACGCCCCCGCGCTCTGGGGCCCCCGGACAACTTGGAGCGCCTGAGCTGAGGGCGGTGATGCCAGGCAGGAAAAGAGATCTTATTTGATCCGAAAAGGATCTTGGGCAGCCTCCAGACCAACCAACGCCCCCGTCCCCATCACCCCCCCAACCCCGCCCCGCGCCCAGGCCAGGAGATGGGTTGGGGGAAGCAGCGTTGCGGCTGGGGGAGGGCACCTGCGGATCTGGAATGGTCACGTGCCTCTGATTGACAGGCCGGCCTGTTCCCCCAGCCCACCGCAGTCCTCAGGCCCCCTGGGCCCCGCCCCCACTGTTGGACCTGCGCCTCTGGCTCCCTACCTTGGGGCAGTCGGGTCTCCCTGGACCACTCTGTCTCAGCCGCGGGTCCCCTGTCATTCATCACCAGGAACTTCACCCTGAACAGGGCACCCAGCATTGGGGGTGGGGTTCCCCAGATCCTGAAACCACCAGGCCCTGGTGCCTGTGGTCTGTCCCCTTGACTCCCAACAGAAGGGGCTCAGGTGTGACATTTCTAGCCTGTGTGACCTTGGGTGCATCCCTCACCCTCTCTGGGCCTTAGTGCCCTCATTTGGAAAATAGGGGGAGGGGATTAGATCTCCCAGCACCAAACACAAGTGAGTCAAGCACTTAGTGAGGGAGACAGGGGTGGAGTCCAGTCACTGCCTGAGGGACACCATGTCTGGATGGGGACACTCTACCCGAGTGGTCCAGATGGCCATGGGGACTGCGGCTGGAGGTGGGGCCTTCTGCCCAAGAAAAGTGGGACAATGCAGCCAGGCCACCCCAGCCCTGCCCTCTCCTCCCCCTCCCTTTGTCAGAGCTGGAGCGGAACCCAGGCACCCTGCTTGGGCCACTGGGAACCTCCTAGGAGCTGCCCCAGGTTCGGGTTTGGGTGTGGGCAGGAGCACCCCCACCTTGGCCAGGGCAGGGCAGAGGCGGTCACCTGTAGGGGCCTGAGTCCGGCAGGGGGTGGTTGCAGCCCCTAGTTGTCACGGCACAGCGGGTGTCATTGCCCACACGGAGGACAGGGAGCTGGTTGCTGGCCTGGCCCCCGGAGTAGAGCGCTCGGTAGGCCATCAGCGTGAGGTAGTAGCCACTCTGGGGGAAGTCGGCAGGGGCAGGGCTGTCCTCTACATTCTCTGGGGCCCTGAAGCTCTGGGTGGCTGAGGGCGGCACTGCAGTCAGACGGTGGAGGCCACGAGGGCAGGACCCCATCCCCACCCCACCAGGCCTGACAGCCCTCTTGGGGCCCCAACTCCTGCAGCACTGCCCCATCCCTGACCCCCCCACCTGCTGCTCCTCTCAGGCCTGTCTGCCCATTCCACAGAGGGAAGACCGAGGCCCGGCCCCAGGAGCACCCACCGTTGCTGCGGGCCACGACCAGCCAGATGGTGTCCCGGTCTGAGATGTTGGGACCGCTGAACAGGCCCCGCGGCTGCTCCAGGGTGAAAGTGGACTGGGTGAGCCTCCCCATCAGGGTGGCGCTCGAGAGCCGGGGCACATAATCAATGTGCTCTTGGGGGGTGGGAGGGAAAGGGCAGAGGAAGAGGCTGAATATGGCAACAAGCTCCCGCCACCTCCCCCAGCCCAGTCTCATGGGGAGAGACATAGACACATCTTGGGAGCCCTGGTCTGAGGCTTTAGGGACACTTCCTGGGAAGTCGGGTCAGGGGTTATCAGGACATCTCCCTGGCGACTCTGTGCCCCATGGGGCACGGATGGGTGGCCTGAGTCCAGCTCCTGGCCGTCTCCTCGGAGGCTGCTGGGATGAGCACTGTGTGAGGTCGGGGGGGGTGGCCCTGCCCTGCTCCCCCATGTCCCAGGGAAGGGCAGGCATGGAGGCACCTTCTTCTGGGCCTTGTTGGGATGGGACTTGAATCTGGGGGGAGCCTGAACCTTCGGCTGCACCCTGCACCTGGCATGCCCAGTGACCTTGGGCTTGAGTCCCTCTGCCCCCCACTCCCCGCCTATGCGAGGTTGGTTTGCTTAATGAGAGGAATGAGCGGCTTGGGAGGGGTGTAGGGGATGACATGGGAAGGTCCCCTGACTGAGACCCCAGGCCTGGACATGGACCGCCCAGAGGGGGCCATGGGCTCTGGGGCCACCTCCCACCCCAGCCCCAAAGCATCTTCCTCTTCAGGACCCTGTCCCTGCTCAGGTCCTCACAACCTCCCCTGGGAAAGGGTATGGGACAGGGACAAGCAGCCGGGGCTATATGCCAGAGGGGACTCAGACCCCCCTCCTCCTCCCTGAGCGCCCTGAGGGCAGGAACAGGGCCACAGTGTCCTCCTCTCCCCACCCCCAGTGCTGGGGCCGGCCACACTCTCCCCCTCAGTTCAGTCCAATTCGTTCCCATTGAATTCAGCTCAACCCCAAAGGTTCACGCTAGAACCTTCCTGCGGGGGCCATGGGTGGCTCAGTCCTGTCTCTGGGGCCCTCTGCATGCAGAAGGTACTCAATGTTTGGAAAGAGGAGGGGAGTGGCAGAGATGGGGGGAGCTGTACCTCTCAGCTCGTCTAGTTTAAGAGCAGACGATGCCACAGCCCCAGCCAGAGAGCTTCCTGGGCGAGCACTGACCTCTGGGACGTCTCTAACCCTCTCCTCAGGGAATGAGGGGGGAGGGAGGGCAGCCGTGTGTGCAAAGTGGGGGTGAGAACCCCAAAGACAGAGGCAGCACTATGGCTCCCCAGTCTTGGCAGGGGGATAGGTGTCTGCCTTGTGGCAGCTTGTGGTGGGCTGTCTGTCTGACCCACGATGGGCCAGGTCCCCAGCCCTGTGCCAGCGCCCGCCCGCACTCACCCAGGCCCTGCTGTGGCTGGATGCCGGTCAACAGCACCAACAGCAGCATGAGCAGCCAGGACTGTCCCCGGCTGTGTCCCATGGCCAGGTCAAGCACCCAGCAGTCTGTTGGTCTGTCCAAGCGTCTGTTTGCAGCGTCCGCTGCCCTGGAGGCTCCTCCGCCTGTGCTGGGCTGGGGGAGGCTGCTCCTGGCATCTCCCGGTGCCCCTCCCTGGTGCCCCCTCCTCCCAAACAACTGGTCCGACAGGTTTGGGGCAGAATCTGCAGGCCCCGTGGATTCAGCATCACCAGGGAGGGTCTGAACAGAACAATCGTTGCAAGATGAGCCCGGACACTCCCACCCCACCCAGGAGGGCCTGGCCAGGGAGGGGCTGAGGAAGGCAGAGGCTGCCCAGTGACAACGCTGCCACACCTACCCACTCCATGGCATCTCCTCACCCAAACAGTCCCCAACCTGGTAACTGGGGCTCTTCCCCTGTGGGGGAGGGAGTTACCCCCACTTCCTAGCATGGACAGGGAAGGGGGCCTGTCCCACAGCACCCAGGCTGCCAGCAAAGAGCTGGGGATTAGATCACACACAGCCCCCCTGCCTCCGAACCATGTGGCCTGGCCCAGGGAGGGGGCTCCCTCCCTCATCTCTCCCTGCTCTATCCCCAGCCCCTGCCAGGGCAGGGCAGTCCCTCCTTGAGACAAAAAGTTACCAGATGGGGCCCAGGGCAGGTGGGCAGAGCATGGTGACGGCCTCTCACCTAGACTGCAGCACCTGCCCCCTCAGCCCAGCCCCCACACCTGGACGGAGCCGCCCTCCTAACACTCCAGTCGCCCCAGGTGTCTGCTGAAAATCCAGGACTGTCATCACTCATGGCCCCCATTCCTGCGTGAAGAGGGGGCTTCCTTCCCCTGAAGAGGATACATCTCAGTTCCCCGGGGAGATTCAGATGTCCACCCCAACTCACAAGAAAAACTTCTGGAAGGAACTTCTGTTATAAGCAGGACAGGCTGGAAACCTCGAGTGCATCGCAGTGGGAAGAGGTTGAGAATCGCTGGCCCCCAGTTACTTAAAGTTCAAGATCTTCCCAGTCAGGCTCCCTCACTGCTCCTGGCTTCCTTCTACCCAGCGCTCCCTCACACCTCTGAGCCTTTGCATGTACTGTTCCCCTGCCTGGGACCACCTCCTCCCCAAGGAGAAAACTTCTACCGCTACTGCAAAACCCAGCTCAAATATCACCTCCTCCGTCGAGTCTTCCCAGACACTCTTCCCAGCCTCTTTCCCAGAGTGACTCCATCTTTCTCAGTGTTGCTGTGGCACTTCGCACAGGCCAGTGTCCTTCCTGCTGCTCATGGACCGATCAGCCACACGCTGTCCACCTTCTTGGGGCCCAGCCTGCTCTGGGGCAGGTGGGAGGTTAATTGCCTTAGTTTATTCAGGCTGCTATAACAAAACACCATAGACTGGATATAAATCACAGAGATATTTTTTCTCATAGCTCTGGAGGCCAAGACATCAAAGATCAAGATACTGGAAGATTTGGTGTCTAGTGAGGACCTGATTTCTGGTCCTCACGTAGCAGAAGGGGCGAGGAAGCTCTCTGGGGTCTTGTGTGCAAGGACACTAAACCCACGTATGACGTAAACACCTCTGAAGGGCCCCGCCTCTTAACACTACAACACTGGGGACTAGGTTTCAATGCATGAGTTTGGTGGAGGGGACACAAACATTCAGGCCCTTCTGCTGACCATTGTCAGAGAGTTCTCCTTGTCGTAGGACCCAGGAGCCCTGTCTCATCCAAGCCCTGAGTCAGCGCAGAGAAGGCAGCGTGGTTTCCAGACCTGAGGGCTGTTGCTCTTCATAGGAATGGACCATCCGTGCCCCCAGCCTGGTTTCAAACATCGCATGACACATCGTGACCAAGCTAGTTACAACTAGGTGATCAAAGAGCCCTTCCCCATGGCAACAGTTCACAGTCCTTTTCTGATTCGTGAGCACCCACTGCCATGACAACACACATCCCAGGCCAAGCCAAGCTCATGTTCTGCAGAGAGCCACGCCATCTTCCTGTGTGACCGGGCTTTGACGATCCCTCAAGCCCAGCCTCTCTCTGCACCTGCTCATCACCTGCTACACCTTCTGGCCTCGCCACCGTCTGTTTCCACCCTCAACTCCCCTGGCTCGGGTCTTGGGGTCTCATCAAGGTGACCAATGGCTCTGGTCCCTGCACCCACGCCGGCTGAGCACCAACTCCCTCCTTTGGGGAGGCTTTTGTTTTAAAATTTCCAAACAACCATAAACATTCTCTGGTTAGTATGATGCATTTACGCTCTGTTTGATGGCCAGCCCACACATGCTATTTTTCTTTCCAAAAATACTTGAGCTATGCCAATTGTTTATTACAGTGAACTTCAAAAATGAAAAATACTGTATGTGAATCAACATGGTATAATTACCCAGTAGGTTTTTCGTGACCAACTCTGTACTCAGACATGCTAGCAGAACGTTTCAGATTTTCCAAGTTTTAAAATGACTCAATTTCATCAGTGATTGACTCGGCCCCCAGGGTACTAGAGGCAGAAACCAGGGCTGAGGCTCAGGAAGACAGGTGAGATCAGGGCTGGGCCTGCGGGGACGTTGAGAGGGACAGGTAAGGCCTGGTGTGCCTGGGTGAGCCCCGGCCAGAGGCCACCAGACGGCCTGTCACAGCTCATGTGCTGCTTCGCACCTCTGTGCCTGTGCCACCTCTTATCCTCCAGTTACACTCCGGGAGGTGGCACTACCAGAAATCACCCCCTAGTTGGCCTTCATGTCCACACCCTCAAAGGCCCCCCAGCACCCAGCAGGCACCTCCAGCTTGTAACTGTTGAAATATGCTTAATGTATTTATTAACACATCAAGTTCAGCCCATGCACATCCAATGTCTGCCCCCTGCTCCAGCTGAAAGCCCCATGAAGGCAGGAACCGGCCCCTCCAGCCTGGGGGTTCCCAGGGTCTCACACGGGCACCCCACAAAGTGAGTATTTCAGCTCCCTGGCAGCTGCCGGGCAGCTGCAGACACAGGACATCTGCAGTCAGCATTTGGTCACAGGACACAGGAGTCAGGCAGAATTTTAAGGGGCCAGGTGGCCTCCGAGAGAGCAGAGCTCCTCGGCCTGGGCGCAGGCACGAAGGCAGAAGAGGGAGGACGTGAGTGTCAGTGGGTCTGGCTGGGGCGAGTCCAGGCCAGCTTGGGCCTGGCAAAGGCTTTCTTTCTGTCTCCTCGAGTTTTTATTCTACGAATGCTCATAGCCACAGAAAAGGCGAGAGACTAGTGCAACGCACACCCACGTACAGCCTCCACCCGGCGTCTCAGCTGTTGACAGTTTGCTGTATTTGCTCTGTAGCCTCTCCTTCATATATACACATAAAACATGCAGATATATAAATATAATATTTCTGTGTGTGCATATACAGTCATGCACCACATAACGATGATTCAGCCAACATCAGACCACGTATACAACGGTGGTCCCATAGGATGAGAACGGAGCTGGAACATCCCTCTCGCCTAGTGGTTTGTGTCACAGTCGCCTACAGCGTTCAGTGCGGTAACGCGCTGTGCAGGTTTGTAGCCCGGGAGCCATAGGCAGACCAGAGAGCCCAGGTGTGTAGGAGGCTACGAAGTGCGGCTTGGAGTAAGTGCACACTGCAATGCGCTGACTGGTGACAAAATCGCCTAACGATGCCTTTCTCACAACGTATCCCTGTTGTTAAGCAACACATGACTGTACATGTATACACACACACACACACACACACACACACACACATCTATACAACAGACTTTTTTCCTTTCTCTCCTGCTCGAAAGGCAGCTGAAAGCAGACGCCGGGGAACATGGGAAGAGCTTGTTTCCCCTTTTGAAAGCGCGTTCTTGCTCATCGACTCGTGGCCTCCATGGTCCTCAGACGTGGGCAGGGCGGGCACACAACTAATCTCATGCACACCAGAAAACGGGGCCCAGCAGAGAGAGGAACTTCCTCCAGCCCCGTGGGGGTCAGTGGCAGAGCTGGGAAGCAGCCCCAGGCCCCCTACCAACAAGCAGGACTCTCTCTTTTCCTTTTTTCTAATCTGTGTTGAATTTGGGGGTCTGCGGAAGCAAAGGATTCATTTTATTTCTCAGTTTGTGGCACATTTCATGACTGCTCTGCACAAGCCCCCTCCCTCACTCTGCACAAGACCCTTCCTCCCTCCCTTCCTCCCTCCCTCCCTTCCTTCCTTCCTTTCTTTCCAACAGGGTCTTGCTCTGTCGCGCAGGCTGGAGTGCAGTGGCATCATCATAGCTCACTATAGCCTCCAACTCGTGGGCTCAAGTGATCTGCCTGCCTCAGCCTCCCCCCACCTCCTGAGTAGCTGGGACTACAGGCATGCACCACCGTGCCCAGCTCATTTTTTTTTACTTTTTGTAGAGATGGAGTCCCTGCTAATTTGCCCAGGCTGATCTTGAAGCCCTGGCCTCAAATGATCCTCCTCCCTCGGCCTCCCAAAGTGCTGGAATTATGGGTGTGAGCCACCGTACCTGGCCAGGATTTATTTTGTTTTTTGTCTTCATCTCCATCCCACTCGTGTTCCACCCTCCAGGCACCTACTCCAGCCAGTGTGATGTATGTGCTTGTGTCAGTCACCTGTGGCTACGTGACAAATTACCTTAGAACTGGCAGCTTAAAATAATACACATTTGTCAACTCAGTGATTCTGAGGTCAGGAAGCTGGGGGCAGTTTAACTGGGTGGTCTGGCTTAGGGGTTCTCATGAGATTGCAAACGGTTGGCCAGGGCCACGGTCATCTGAAGGCTCGCCCGGGGCTGGAGGGGCCATTTCTACGATGGCTCACTCAGGTGGCTCTTGGCTGTCTGAGTGTCCACACGACATGGCAGCCGGTGTCCTCCAGAGTGAGTGATCCAAGAGAGAAAGCTGCAGAAGCATCATGTCTTTTATGACCCAGCCTCAGAAACAACAAACCATCACTTCTGCAGATTTCTATTGGTCACCCAGACGACACCCCCATGCAGTGTGGGAGGGGCCTATCCCAGGGCTTGACAAGCAGGCAC